CCCCCCCCCCGAAAAAAAAAAAAAAAAAAACACCCAGAAAACACACACAAAAGAGGAGCACCAGCAAAATGATAAAAGTACTCCAGTGCTAGCCATCCTAGATTAATTTCGGACATAATATAGAGAGAAAAAACGCTGTGATGGATGATGATTAAAAAAACAGAAAGATCGTAGAGTAAGTATCAGAAGTGCTATATGAATTTAATAAATACTAAACAACAATAATATTATTAGTTGACCCACGAAAAATGTTATCTGATAAACCAAAATGAGATGCAAGAACAAATATAAAAATAATGAACAGAGGCAAACCACTAACATAGATAGCTCACATATACAAAAAAAAAGTTATAAAATCAAGTGGATCATGATAAGGACATGAGGGTTTAACACAAAAATAAGGCAATGAATTATTTATGTGCCCTCAACAAACCACATTCAGATAGCTAAAAGTCAGTCTAAAAGCCACTGATTGATAATCAAATAAGAGCATGTATTGTTTCTATTTAGATGCAAAGGGTGATTACAGCAGGTTTTACCAGCATATGTGAAGAAGTCCAATTTCAGTTGCATGGAAAGTATATTCAGTAAGAATTCACAATACGTAACATTCATGGCCCTCGAAACTATTTACCTGAATAGGAGTACCCGTAAGGCACCATCTTCTGTCAGCAGCCAGTGCAGCCGTAGCTATGGAAATTTGGCTCTTGGATGACTTTATAATATGTGCTTCATCAAGAACTATCCTGAACCACTGCACTGAGTAAAGCCCTCCATTCTCTTCAGAATTCTAAAAGTAAAAAAGAAAGCGGGTGAATCTTCTTTTTTACGGAGATACATTTCAGTAAAATATGGTAAACGAAATTGATGGCTACCGCAAATTGTTACCTCAGATGAATATTCTGATGCCAACACACCGTATGTTGTCAGAACAATGTCACTCTGAGCTAAGAACTTTGCATCCCTTGGTCTACTCTGTCCATAGTGAACGTAAACTGTGAGTGTACCAGGTTGAACATGGGTTTCAATCTCAGCCTGTCATTTAGTAAAATTAGAGCTTAAGATCAGAAAATTGACTTCAAGCTAAATAAAGGTCGGGCAGTTTAACAAGGTCAAGTTAAACTCGCCATTTTGTAACGTAAATAATACAAACACATCTTTCATTAAACTGCCTTACCTTCCACTGTCCTAGCAGTGTCATAGGACAGATAATCAGGCTGCCACCTCCTATAAGTGGAGCCTTAAACTTCAGCAATTTGCTAAAATCAGATGTGCCTTTTGACTTCTTTGAAGTGTTCGGAGATTTATGGGGGATGTGGTTGGAATAGTTAGCTACAGCAGAGGCCTGGCTGTCGGAGGAAGTACATGAGCCCCCCTTTCCAAAATGAGTAACCAAAAGCGCAATGGTCATTATGGTCTTGCCTAGTCCCATAGCATCTGCCAAAATCTTCAATCACTACATATAAGTCACACAAATAAAGCAATCGAAAATAACAAGCCAAATTCCATTCAGTTCATGATACATACTCCTCCTCTTGCAATTTGAAGTGTGCTAGGGAATATTGTTGTAGCTTCTCCTGAAAATGAATTCAAATAGACAACAGACTCCCTCCTAAAAATTCAAGCAAGCAACATCAACTTAAATAGTTAACCATGTTCATGGACATATTCAATATTTCACATACTTATCGGCAAGACGATATGCATCCCAACATGGGTGAAGGGTTGTTGCTGCCTCCTCTAGATTACTCCCTTTCTCCATATGCACCATCCAATGAAGAGCCTGTTTCTGGTAAGGTCGTAGCTCACACTGAAGTATATCAGGGGGATTCAATTCCTGCAAGAGACGTGTAAAAAAGAAGCATCTACGGGTTTGAATTTATAGGAAGCTCAGAGCCTTGAAATTAGACAAGTACCTCTAGTTGAGAACTGTCAGAGAGCCCCACAATAGTCTCTAGTTCACAGTCTGGAATGCTTTCATCTTCTTCTTTTCCTCTGTTTCCACTCGAAGATAAATTCTGACATTTAGCAGGGGGTAATGCAACTCCAAGAGTTCCAGAACTGTCCTGTAGCAGCACAAATAAGTAATAACAATCTGCGAATCTGTTTGTAAGAGTATGAGAGTGCAATTGTTTGTGAGTCTGTGTATCACAAGAAAACATAGAAAGTGGTGCATCTACCTTGGATTCTATGTTTCTTTTTTTATTGTAGAGGTCCCCAGGACTAAACTCAGCCTGCCAATAGAAGTACCAGTTAATACAAGTAAATTAACAGCCATAACAAAAACAACAAATCATTTTTCTCCAAATAAGCAAATTGGTTGTATAAATATTATTTTCCAAATAAGCTATTATGGAAAGAGACAGTTGACGAAAATTGTTTTTGTTATCACTGTAAGAAAGAAAATTGTTTAATGTATTATTTTATGCTTGTTTCAGTTCAGCAGCATCATTAATTCCCTAGAACTCATGGAAATGTAAATTCCGAAACTTGAAAACCCGTACTCAAGGCAAAATGATAATTAAATAAAGATCTGTTAAACGAACATTGGTTTTAATTGGGAGCACCCCAGATGCTCACAATTCTGTCCCAAAGGAGGATTACAAAAATAAGTAATGAAGGTTGAAATTATGAAAACCATATACTAAACAGTACCAGATAGGGGCATAGAATAGGTAATTTCACGTAAACGCCCTGA